CACACTCACACTCACACACAGACACAGACACAGACACAGACACACACACACACAAAATATTAATATAATTATCTAATAGTTACAGTTATAGTTCTTGGTGTGAAGCAGCATCAATGTGTGCTGAAACGTGCTGCTCAAACTGTTCAGATCAGACTCAGGTAACCAGGGCTTGAGCTGCTGGGATTCATCAGAAAAATCTGCAGTATGTTTTCATATTACATCAAACTATTTTATTCCAAAAGATCACGGAGATTATGATTTATGCCATTTTCAATACTATTTCCCAAACTGTGTGTGGATTCAATCATAACACTGTAGCTGCAGTGTTCATCTGGGATGAATATCAGCTGTTGTTCAAGTAATTGTTTCGTAGGGCCGCAGCGAAAATGACGTTGGCCCTGTCGGAACATTTACAGCACGTCTTTAGAGAAGAGTGGCGTGAAAAACAGCCGCCTGTGTAATGCAGTTCAGCTGAAGCTTCATACACTAAGAACGAGCTCGAGCACGGCTTATTCCGAGTTCTGTTTCCTGTAGCCGAGACGCCCACTGCCTACAAACACCATGTGCTCCCTGTAGTTCCACTCGAACACGGCCTTCGATCTTCACCCGCTGACGGCTACACATTTCCCTGCGAGCTTCCCCGAGTTCTGCAGCTGATATCCAGTTTCCTCATGCCACTCGGCAGCAAAAAAGCAACAGCCCTTTCTCCACTTATGAATAATGCAGCCGCCCCTCTCTCTCTCTCAGGCCTCACATCACAACAAAACAGTTGTCAGGGCTCCCAAGAGTCCATTAAAGTTCAAACAAGCTGTAAAGAAAGCGAGTGAGAGACATCGTGTGACCCAAACGGCTGAGAGAGCCTCCACCCCACCCAGGAAAGAAAGCAGCGAGCATGTGACTATTCCCCATCGCTGCGGATAATTAGGAGTCAAACGCAGCCACTGCGTGCTCTGCTCTAATTGTGTTAAAGAGCACCGTTACCAGGCCGCAAACACAGCGCCGGCACAATAGAGCAGATACAGAATAAGATAGAGGGTCGCCGTGTCTCCGGGGGCCGCCTTTCACCAGGCGCACAGGGTCACGGACTCAACGCTGATAATGCAAGATGTAATTAATATAAAAGTCGGAGACAATGGCTGGAAGGACCCGCACCTGGCCTGTCCGTCAGAGAGCTCGCTCAACTTTCATTCACAGTCGTCACTAAATACCACGCACTAACAGAAAAATGTACGTTGGATCGGGAATGGCTGCGAACACGTAAAAATGACCCATGCGAAACACAAGCGAGCGCATCTTCAGCCCCTGACCTTTCTCCGTGCCTCCTGCGCGTCAGATCCACACACAGCTCTGTTGCATTCAACATGTAATTACACAAGCGCTCCCAAAACATGTTAAAGGGACGGTCTGAAGCATCTCAAAATGACTATTCAGAGCGAAACTGCCAATTATCTGACAAGAATGAGAAAGGAGCCTTCGCTGAGCTCGAGTACGTAATTGACAGCCGAGGATTTTAAGAGATGTGACTGAATATTTTTAATGCTCTTCTGTTTGACACAGAAAGGCAAAAACACACCTCACTTAAAAACCATATGAAACACGCTGAGATTTTTTTTTTTATGGTATGATCTAAATTAAAATATTATTTAACATCTCCAAATCCAACTACATAGATTAGTTTACACCAGCAAAACACATTTTTATGGGTTGAAATAGTTCGCAATTGCAGGTTACCAATTTATGCTTTCTGCCTATCAACAAGTTCCTGTTCTGAAATCCATGAATTTATTAAACTGGAAAACCAATCCAAATCATTCTGAAGCACTAAGCAGAAGCCCGCAGCACTGGAAGCACAGCAACAAGTGAGTGTGTGTGCAGACGAGAGCAGTCACACCCAGATCACACACACCAGATCACACACACCAGATCACACACCAGATCACACACACCAGATCACACACACCCAGATCAGTGCTGCATCTCAACCCGTGCTGCTTCATTACGATCTATATCACACACACCAGATCACACACACCAGATCACACACACCAGATCACACACACCAGATCACACACACCAGATCACACACACCCAGATCAGTGCTGCATCTCAACACGCAAAGCTGCTTCATTACGATCTATACGCGCGCGCTGACTAGATGACCTGTAAGCTATAGTCATGTAAACAGTTTATCATGACAAATCACCAAAACAAAAACAATATTAACAACAACAACAAAAAACTGGCTTCTAAGCTTATTGCATGTGACTGGCCACAATCTATTGGAGAGAGATCACTACAGCACACTCACAGACGATTCTTCTGCTTAAAAAATAACACTACACTGTAAAATCCGATAGTTTACCTTACTTAGATTTAATTAGTAATCTTTACTTAGTTGTTATACTTACTAGGTTTTATTAAGTTACAGCTAATTTCAAGGCAAATAAAACTATTTACTTACTGTTTTGAGTGACACTTACTTAAAATATTCAAGTAGCCACAAAGGAACCAGTGACATTAATAAACCAATGAGAGGCAGCCGTGCACTAATATGTTGCTAATGTGCAACATAACAGAAGAAGAAAATAAAACGCATCACATAAGCTAACTTCATAAATTGATGTTGATTTTCCTAAAATGTTTATTTTTTAATTCACCATTATAGTGATTAGCGTTCCCTTTGGTTGGGCACTTGGAACTTGGGTTTATGTAACTATAATTTTCTTCTTGTTAATGCAGTAATGCATTATGAAATCAGAGTTATTTGATTTCAAGGAAACATAAGTAATAAATAGGTTGCTTATAGAAGGTGACCTATTTTCTAATTAAATTATTAGTGCATTTTATTGTGTGTGTTTATAAATGAATTTCATTATTCATAATTACTTTGAGATGATCTTAATTGAGTTTATATAATCCTCAAATAGTGTGTGGTAATATACAAAAGTCACACACAGACTTAAACATTCAGCACGTGAACCACAACAATGGTAACAATTCAATTTCATTTATTTTCATTACTTGTAACAATAGCCATTTTATTTGCTCTTTTTGTTGTGCTGCTACTGACACAAGACAGCAAATAAAATTGGCAAATAAAATTAACAACTGTAAAACAAAGCAACTGTATAATTTATTCATGTGGCAATGCACTCTGGGAGTCAGTGAGTAGCTATACTAAGTCATGAGTAAACCTAAAGTAAAGGATCAAGTACCCCCTACAGTTCTTTTTTAGTTACTAGAACTCTCGTGTAAGTAAACTATACTAACTAAGCATCTGTCAGTACAACATATTATTGCTATTTCACTTTACTTAGTTTTTTCAAGGCAATCGGTTTGCATGCTTTTTTTAAGTAAGCCCAACTAATTAGATTTTACAG